TTGTTATCAAAATCTTTGGTTTTTATTATTGGTATATTTGTTATATTTGTTTTTATATAGCTAAAGTTTATTATAATATACCTGTCCATATATTAATGTGCCAGAATACGAAGTAGAATATGTCCAATCATACGGCTTGACTACATCTTTGATATGTCCATGATTCTTTGCGCTATTAAATAAAATCGAATGCATTAATTAGGCCATGCAAAATTAATTAATTGGTTTTCATAAGCCGGCCGGTTATGTCTATTTAAAGTTATGTGTTATGAAAACCAAGAAATTAAAATTTGTTCAGCCTTATCTCAACCACTAAATCACTTTTTCACAATTTAATTTAAACACACTTTTTATGCTTCCATTCTTCAGAGTATGCAACTTTCACTCTATCTCCACCTTCTTTTGTTGCATCAATAAATTTTAGCGCATCCACTGGTGATAGTTCAAAAATAATACCATCTTCATTTGTTACTTGTAACTTATTATTGCCAAAAAACATTTCCGGAAGTGGAATCGAAATTTGTTTTTGTAATCTAATTTAAAAAAGGTGTGAGTTGATCGCAAAGTATATAACAATGTTTAACGCGTTAATTGAAATTAGAAATACCGATCAATTTCTTGTGAGTTAAAAATTGGAAGCTTAGTAGTTGAAATTGTCCAGCCATGAATTCGGATACCCTGTCGTGAGCCTTCAGCAAATTTTTCATACTTTGGAAGATCCATAGCGATAGATAAATTCAAAGATTATGTAAAGGACCGTTTGAGTAGTAACGGTAAGAGAGACCGCCAATGTTGTACAAAAGTTGGTCACGAAGATCAATTGACAACGATCTATTGACCGACTTTTGTGTAACATTGATGGCCCTTATTACTACAGTACTACAGTATTAAAGGACTTACATACTGTCAAAATAACGAAAATATTTAACATAACGAAAATATTTTATTATGTCAAAAATATTTTAGCATGTCGAGAATATCGAAAATATTATATCGAAATATTTTAGTGTATCAAAAACATTTTAGTATTTTTGTATGTCGAAAAATATTTAAAGAACTTATAGATTAAGGCCTATTAAGAACAGCAAACTCTATTCTCATACAACTTTTTTACCATTTTTTATTAGCAAAATTTTCTATTGGTTGGTTAAATTTAATAGTGGAAATAGATACGTCAATCAAAAAATGTAAATTATTATTTTTGACTTGGGCGATACAAAAAGAAAACCAAAAAATTTGAGATAAAAGCTTAGCTTCAAAGCATTATACTGTATTTATTTTAATATAACTTTAATGTAATTTCATTAGTAAACAATTTCATCGATAAGACAATAAAATCTTAACACCTAATATTTTAATCTTCAGCTTAAGCTTTATACATTTCAACACAGCATTCTACAAAATTTTTCAAAAATATTTTGTATTCATCTATTTTATACAAATAATTAACTGTAAGTCCCAATCCATTAAATTTCTGAAAACAAAATTCTAATGGAATATTTTTTTCTTTTAATACGGGATCTTCTATTAGCAAAATCTTTTCCAACGGGAAAATTCACATAAATTGCTTTTAAGAATTTTATAATTAGGTATTGCTTCATGAATTTTCATCAACATCTATAATTTATACATTGCTTTTATATGATTTATTCTATAATAAAATTCTTCCCATTCCATGTTGATTTGAAGTTGTTCCTTATGTTTTTTCAAATGTAAAAGAAATTCCAGCCAGGTTTGATCTTTAATGGTGCTTACATTAGGAGTGTAAGTAGGATTAACTAATGCTGTATTGTTATGAACTTATTTCAGACACTAACTTTACTTGGGTATCTTTTAAACAGGAGACTGGTCTTTTTCCTGTACCATAGCACCATATTGATAAACAAAACAAACACATAGTTGCATTCTACTAAGTTTGTCTGAATTAAGAAGGTGTAAACAATGCTGATCTTTTGGAGAGGGTAAGCCAAATCACCTACTTTTTGTCGAAAGTTTTGGTGAGAGCGGCAAAAATGAAAAATAGATGAAAGACCACTTGAGAGCACTTAAAGAAGTGTGAGTTTTCTTTTACTTAGATTCAACCATCTACCCACGATATACGTAGTACTCAATTTTTTTGGTGAGTGATAAACTCTAAACTTGTCAGCAGATAGTGTATGAGAGCTACCTCTAAACGACAAGTGCCATGATATAGTGAGTGATAAACTCTAAGCCTGTCGGCAAGGAAGCATATGAGAACTACCTCTAAATGACAGGTGCTGTCTTATGTCTATTTTTCTACATCTTATAATTTAGACCTCACATTGTGAGGTTGTCTTGATGTCCAGTGTTTTTTCTTAGTAATTGTTTTTTTTTAGAAAATATGGTTCAAGTGACTATCGGAAAGAGTTTTTAAAATTTTTTTTTTAACTTTAAATATAGTTTAGCATACTAGTTTGTATATAATTTCAGATTTAAAATTAGTATATAGTTTAACTTTAATATAATCACTAGCTTAAAAAACAAAAATTCAATAATTATAAAAAGATATAACTTGTTTAAAATTGAGGATCTTTTTCTAAAAATCACTTGGAACCAAAAATTGCAAAAGCCAAAATATAGAATATATTTAAAATACTAAAATACTGCAATAGCTTTTATAAAAAAGTGCAAATAAAACAAAAGTTTCAACTAGAAAAACAGATAATTATATAGTAACAACATGTTTACAAATTTAAAAAACTGCAAATAGATAGTACAAAGTGTTGCTAAACAAAACTAACAAGATAGTTACTAAGTATACAAAAGACAAATACATCAAAACTAGCAAAAACTCAAAACAAGTTTTCAAGACACAGTATATATCACAATAAGCAATACTACAATATAATAAATATAATACAATAAGAGATACTTTGTAATAAATTTGTTTATTTCTGCATCAAAGTGGGAAATCAATATTATTTTAGTATTGCAGATTATTTGTAAAATATAGGCTATATAGTTATACAAAAGTATCTAAGTAGAAAGTCATACCAAAGATATATAAAAATATATATATAATTTACTTAAAAATTACATATTTAAATCAAGAAATAAAAATACAACAATAATTGATATATAATAGCAAATTTAAAAAAATTTAGAGATTTCTTTAAATAAACTAAAAGAGAAAGAAGATTATTATATAATAAACAATATACAACAATATGAAATAAATATATATATATATATTACAGAATATCTAAATATAAGCAATATATACCTTATAGCTATAATATACAATATAATAAAAAGATATAAATAGGCTAAAAACAATGAAATAAAAAAGCAATCTATAACTAAAGAAGAAAAGAAGCTTCTTGAACAAGACACAAATATTACAATATGTTTAAATACAAGTATTAAGAAAAAGACAGGGCTAATTATAATAAACTTTAGCTATATAAAAACAAATATAACAAATATACCAATAATAAAAACCAAAGATTTTGATAACAA